TTTAAAATCTCCAGGTGCTCGATGCTGCGTCCATGTTTGAACAACTTCCGTAAACACAGAGTACGCTCACTGCGGTTGACGTTGGCGTGTCTCCAGTGCACATGCGGGACACTTTTGGACCACTGGAGATCACATACAAGTCGCATTTAATTGGAAAGGTGAAGGACCTCGCAAAAACATCGGATTTCACAAAAAAAATCCAAATTGAGCATTAAGCCCTGCAGTCTGAACGTAGCCTAAGAGCCACTGTGGATTAAACCAACACTTCCTCATGATCCATCCAACGTCTTCCTCCACTCGACTGATGGTTTACTCATGGCCGCCAGCGCAGGAACCAAAGTATTGTTTGCGTATACTCCAAATTAAACGTTTAGTCACAATACATCATTACACATTGTTGTTGTTGTTGTTGTTGTTGTTTTTCCTCCCTCCGTTTAACATCGCACTGCAGCCTGGTTGAGTTTACAAAAAAATAGGCTAATGAAATAGTGAAAAAAATAAGACTTGAACAACATAATTTAAGATTTTTAAGGCCTTAATTTAGGAACATGAAATTTAAGACATTTTTAAGACTTTTAACTCTCTCAGGCTCAAATAAAATTTTAGTAACAGGAAAAAATCTGATATTTGGGGAAAATGATCATATGGGGCAGTAATATACAATCCTGATTTTTGTTTGAGAGAGACCTTCACATGCAGTGCATTCTGGGATGTTGCAGATTTGCAGCATTGGTCTGGTGTAGTAAATTAACACTGAAGACTGAAAATTATATGAACATTAACTTTATGTATAAACCACTTTTCATAACAATGAAAACATAAAGCTCAGTGTAACAGCTTTACAGTGACAGAACAACATCACTTTTTCGTGTGGTTCTCCAAGAAACTATTTTTATCCTTTGTAAACAACAAAAGTACTTTGCATTTCTGGCAGGTCGTTTGTGTGTTTGTTCTTACACAGTCTGCATCGTCCACGTTTATCAGTAGTGGTGTGCAAAAATATTGGAATATCGATATATTGTATCGTTTAATGTGATGATACAGTATCGATATTGTGGGCTACTGTATCGATATGTCACCAAGAGTATTTTTACGTGTGTTTTACTAGATTATTTTGTTACAGTGCTGCAGTTTTGTTGTTTGTGGAGTGAAAGAAAACTCATTTATGCAACACATTTGACATTTTCACTGTTTTGAGGATTAAAATGTTTGTGTTTCATATGAACTTTGCACAAGAAGTGGTTTAACAAACACTTTTAGTATCACAGCCACGATTTTGCCTTTATTTTTATTGAACTGTATCAAATCAATTTGAAATATATCATATCAAATCGAAAGTGCACTGTATCGAGGTATGTATCGTATCGGCAACTTCTTAATGATACCCAGCCCTATTTATCAGCATGGATGGGAAAAAAGGCTCCTGAGTAAAAAAAGCTCATAAAATATGGATTTGGAGTAAGTAGGTCATTGGCATTTAGCTGTTGCAAATCTGCAACGTCTGCCTGGAGAGGGATACGACCTCGTGGCTACACTTTATACAGCGCTTTTCCACCTTCAAGGCTCAAAGCTCTTTACAACAAGGAACCACACACACACACACACACACACACACACACACACACACACACACACACACACACACACACACACACACACACACACACACACTGGTGGCAAGGTGGGTTAAGTGTTTTGCCCAAGGACACAAAGACAGCATTCAACTGTGGGAGCTGGAATCACCAACCTGTGGGTCATTGGATCTGATGCTCAACCAATGTTTTTTTTTTTTTTTTTTTTTTTATATATATATAGAACCACCAATCTTCATATCAGTGAATAAATGCTCTACCTCCGAGCTCCTGCCGCCCCAGCCCCAAATCTGTAACCGCCGACTGCAGGAATGATCTAGAAGGACTTTGTTATTCCTCAGTATTTGTGTTTGTGAGGAGTGAGTGTAAAACCTTTAAACATGTTGATGATTCTGTAGTAGAAGTGACTCATTAAATACAAAACTTCATCTACATGAGCACAATAAATATATTTTGTCCATTGTTATTCAATAAGTTGTATTTCTCCCACAATGATATTTCAGTGTACACATGACCACAGTTGATTTCATAGGTTTCATCCTTGTGTGTCCTTGAACACTTGAGGCTCTTGAAGGATCCTTCTTTACAGTCATGATCTAAATCATCTGATTGTGCTGCACTCAAGGTTTCAGGGCTGAGAAAATTCTGTTTTCACCTACCCCCTGTCTCCACCCACTGCTCTGTACATGTGAATACTGAAAAATCACTCAGAAAGGAGTGAATGAATACAATTTAGACTTTTTAATTGTACAGTTTGGAGATTATTTTAACGTCATATTTATTCTTGATGAGGCACTGAAAGAGAGATGTTTAACACCTGAACAAAACCAGGACTAAACCAGGACTAGACCAGAACTAAACCAGGACTAAACCAGGACTAGACCAGGACTAAACCAGGACTAAACCAAGACTAGACCAGGACTAAACCAGGACTAAACCAAGACTAAACCAGGACTAAACCAGGACTAAACTAGGACTACACCAGGACTAAACCAGGACTAGACCAGGACTAGACCAGGACTAAACCAGGACTAAACCAAGACTAAACCAGGACTAAACCAGGACTAGACCAAGACTAAACCAGGACAAAACCAGGACTAAACCAGGACTAAACCAAGACTAGACCAGGACTAGACCAGGACTAAACCAGGACTAAACCAGGACTAAACCAGGACTAAACCAAGACTAGACCAGGATTAAACCAAGACTAGATCAGGACTAAACTAGGTCTAAACCAGGTCTAAACCAGGACTCAACCAGACCTAAACCAGGTCTAAAGCAGGACTAAAGCAGGACTAAACCAGAACTAAACCAAAACTAAACCAGGTCTAAACCAGGACTAAACTAGAACTAAACCAGGTCTACAGCAGGTCTGAACCTGAGCGAGCGTCCGTCCGTGTGGGTGTGTTCAGATGTATAAATGCTAATATTAAATGTATTGTTTGCGTGTTTAATCGTGTGCAGTTTGTGTTAGTGTCGGTGTTAGAGAGTCTTTAGCACGTTTTCTTTCACACTTTTTCTTAAGACACAAACAAAAGCATTTAAAGTGAGAAAAGCGCATGTGTTAAATAAAGGTGGTTTTAGCCCACACAGAACAGACTCAGAGCTCAAACGATCCGGACCCAACCTCGAACTGAAAGGGCCCAGTTTAAAGTCTTGTCTGATCTCTGTTCTAATGTCGTTTCCTCAGCACAAACAGATCTGGACTTGTGTTTAGTTTCATTCACACTTTCACGTTCACACACAAACCTGCACATTTAGACTGAGCTCTTCTCTCAAACAGAAAACACCTTGTTCCACCTTGTGATGTCATGTGGTAATACACAGTGTTGGGGAGAAACAGATTACATGTACCGGAGTTACGTAATCAGAGTACAAATTATGAGTAACTGTATTCAGTTACAGTTACTGTTTCAGTGAGTGGTAATTGGATTACAGTTACTTGCTTGACAAAAATAGATTACACAGCAGGATTTTCCTGTTTTTACATTTGGGGCTATATCCCTTTTTTTTTTTTTTTTTCTCAGTAATTCCACTCATTGCTGGACACAAAACCAGGTTTAAAACCAGGTCTAAAACAGGTCTAAACCAAGTCTAAACCAGGTCTAAACAGGTTTAAAACAGGTCTAAACCAGGATTTAACAGGACTAAACCAGGACTAAATCAGGACTAAACCAGGACTAAACCAGGACTGAACCAGGACTAAACCAGGACTGAACCAGGACTAAAACTGGTCTAAAACAGGTCTAAACCAGGATTTAACAGGACTAAACCAGGAATAAATCAGGACTAAACCAGGACTAAACCAGGACTAAACCAGGACTGAACCAGGACTAAACAAGGACTGAACCAGGACTGAACCAGGACTAAACCGGGTCTAAAACAGGATTTAACAGCAGTTTATAGCGAACAAAACATCTTACGTGAAGATTTCCTCGTCTTTGTTTCTCTACAGCAAATCAAGTAATCCAAAATATTCAGATTACGTTACTCACTTTAAGTAATTTAATGTTTTCCATTACAAACTACATTTTGGTGTATGTAATCTGTAATCTGTAGGGGAATACATTTTAAAAGTAACCTTCCCAACACTGGTGATGCAGGAAGTGCTCCACTGTTTTTAAACTGCATACACCTTTACCAGAATCATTTGGATCATTTCAGACAGTCTCTACTCAGCTAAAGGTAAAAGGAGCTGTTCACTTGAAAATGATCCCTTCATGACATCACAAGGTGGAGCAGAGTATTTTGAGCTTTGGAGACTTTGACAGACTAATAATAAAGAGTTACTCAAACATGTGTGAATGAAACATAAGGTCTGCTTTTGAGAAGGTAACAACATTTTTAACATTTTAAAGCTCACAAGAGTCAATTTTGAGTAATATAGGGTGTCAAAGTGGCAGAGTTGTTAGTCGTTTCCTTGCAGCCTGAGGGTCTGAGGTTCAATTCCTTCCTGGACTGTGGACTTTGCGTGTTCTCCCTGTGTGTGGGTGGGTTTGATCACGACTCTTTTCGGTGTAGACTCTGTACACTTGACTGGGGCGTTGGAGAGGCTTTTAGCTGTTTTCAAGATAAACACAATGTCTCACTCCTGGTTTTCTTTTTTTGATACAAGGTTTCAGTCCATCAGACCTTCCTCATGAAGCAAAACCCAAGTCTCAGCCTCAGAGCCTCAGTCCTCCTCTTGAATTTTGTGTTGGAGTTTCAGCGCTCAAATGTCTCTGTGCTAAAATAGTAATATGGTTCGATTTGTGATTTATGTTTTAATAATAGATTTCTGTTCAAAGTTCACATTAAACATATGCAGAAGAACTGACACAAGAAACTAAATGGAACAGAAGAATCCCACTTGAGACGCTGCGCTGCCACTGCAAATCACTCTCATGTCATGTCTGGGCTGTATTTCAGGGAGGAGAAGCCGATCCAGGCTCGGACCGTCAACCTGGTGGGACAGAAGAAACCTCCACAGCAAAACGACGTCAGGTTGGTTCTCATTTACACCCAGAAAAAGACCTGCTCAGTCCTGCTTGAGTCCTGGTTTAGATCTGGTTTAGTCCTGGTTTAGTTCTTCTTTAGCCCTGGGTTAGCCCTAGTTCAGTTTTCCTTTAGTCCTGGTTTAGTCCTAGTTTGGTTCTTCTTTAGTCCTGGTTTAGTCCTGTTTTAGTCCTGGTTTGGTTCTTCTTTAGTCCTGGTTTAGTTCTTCTTTAGTCTTGGTTTAGTCCTGGTTTGGTTCTTCTTTAGTCCTGGTTTAGTCCTGTTTTAGTCCTGGTTTGGTTCTTCTTTAGTCCTGGTTTGGTTCTTCTTTAGTCCTGGTTTGGTTCTTCTTTAGTCCTGGTTTAGTCCTGGTTTAGTCCTGTTTTAGTCCTGGTTTGGTTCTTCTTTAGTCTTGGTTTAGTCCTGTTTTAGTCCTGGTTTGGTTCTTCTTTAGTCCTGGTTTAGTCCTGTTTTAATCCTGGTTTGGTTCTTCTTTAGTCTTGGTTTAGTCCTGATTTGGTTCTTCTTTAGTCCTGGTTTAGTCCTGGTTTGGTTCTTCTTTAGTCCTGGTTTGGTTCTGGTTCAGAGCTAGTGTTGAGTCTTTGGGACTGACAGAAGTTGATCACATTTGAGTATTTGTGGAGTGAATTTAAAATAATCTGTGATTTCAAAACATTTCAAAATAAACAACAATTTACAGCACCTTGAATCTGGTAAAAAATAAAAATAAAAATGTGCTGGTACCTGAAGCCAGCACCAGTACTGAGCTACTCCGTCTCTGACTAGATAAACAGCAGTGAGCATATTCACATCTAGTTCTGCTTTAGTCCTGGTTTGGTTCTGGTTTGGTTCTGGTTTAGTCCATCTTTAGTCCTCCCTTTGATCTGGTTTGGTTCTACTTTAATGTGTTGGTGAAGGTTTAGTCCTGCTTTAGTCTTGCTTTAGTCCTGGCTTGGTCCTGGTTTAGTCCTGGCTTGGTCCTGGTTTAGTCCTGGTTTAGTTCTGCTTTAGTCTTGCTTTAGTTCTGATTTAGTTCTGATTTAGTCCTGGTTTAGTTCTGGTTTAGTCCTGCTTTAGTCGTGTTTAAATCCTCTTTTAATCCTGATTTAGTCCTGGTTTAGTCCTGCTTTAGTCCTGATTTAGTCCTGGTTTAGTTCTGCTTTAGTCCTGGTTTAGTTCTGCTTTAGTCCTGGTTTAGTCCTGCTTTAGTCCTGGTTTAGTTCTGCTTTAGTCCTGGTTTAGTCCTGGTTTAGTCTTGCTTTAGTCCTGGTTTAGTCCTGCTTTAGTCCTGATTTAGTCCTGGTTTAGTTCTGCTTTAGTCCTGGTTTAGTTCTGCTTTAGTCCTGGTTTAGTCCTGGTTTAGTCCTGGTTTAGTCACAGCAGTGAGCAGAGACATGTGAGATGGACGTTGGACGAGTCTCAGTCCAAATCCAGTTTAGATCTAGTCCGGTCTCAAAATAAACTTCAGTCAGCGCTCTCTGCTCCTGCCTGCTCCTGTCACTCTGCTCCTGTCACTCTGCTCCTGTCACTCACTGCTCTGGGCGGGTGAGGGTGAGGGTGATTCAAGAAAGTGACTACTACCACTGCTACTACAAATACTACTGTGACTACTACTTAGAATTGTCACGATACTAAAAATGCAATCACAGTTTTGATTGATTATTAAATGGAAGTACTTTTCTTTTCTATTCCCATGTGACCTTATATCTGTGTAATCCCTCGTCAATTGAACATTTTTAGTATCGATACTGCAAAAAATGAGTATCTAGTGTCAATAGTTCAGTAGTTCCACAGTTTTATTTATCGATTAGTATCTGAATTTCGATGCTTTTGACACCGCTGTTCTGAGATATTTCTTACTTTTGCTTATTAAAGAACCAAACACATCCTAATGTATTTATTGGATTGTCCCTGAGCAGAGCCTGTGCAGGAAAATCAAACCTGATTAGCTGAAGATAACGAGCTCAAAGGAAACATGTGTCCAGAGCAGAGCACCTCAGGGTGAGCCCAGGGTCACCCAGCCCCCCGTGTATCCTCCAGTTCACCTGACACCGCAAAACTTTAAACAGGGAGTATTATGTCACGTGTTTGGAGCTTTCTAACATGTTATAACAGCATTCCCTCATCAAAAACATGCCTAAAGAGTAGGACTGTAACAATAACCCAAATATCGTGATATCGTATCGTCAGAGGTCTCTCAGTAATATCGTGGGTTGTCACAAGTTAATTTACTTAAGTGCATTGTTTTATAGTAGTAACAGCTAAGAAGAATCAGGAACTACATATCCCATGATTCATTTCAGTGCAGACAACATGAAGAAATATCTTTTTTTTTACTTATTTACTAATTCTTGAGATTATGACAGTATTGATTTGCGTTGAGTCTTCTTAAGGTATTTTAAAAGCAATAAATATGGTACCGTGAGATGCATATCGTGATAATATCGTACCATGAGTTTTGGATATCGTTACATCCATTCTAAAGAGATTTTAGAGTCATCCATACATGTTTGAGTAATCTAGAGATCTCCTCTGGACTATTCAAACCCCTCCTTATGTTTAAGATGTAAAATTCTGTACAAGGCTCCTCCCACAAGCCCATGCTCACACAAGACAATTCTCCATAAATACACAAAAAACATGATACAGAACTGTACACAGCAACTTTACAAACCTGATGTGAGGTGCAGTAGTTTTATTAGCGGGATGATTGTGCTGTGATTGTGTTGTGATAGCGCTCTGAAGGAAGAGTGACTTAGCACAGGGAGCGAAGTGAGGTGAGACTCCCTCAAATGCCAAAAACCACAATCGTGAAACTTATAAAACATGTTAACATGCTGTTTTTGGCGAATGCAGCATTTTCAAAACTATAAAACGTGTAAAACAGTGATCTAAATATCAGGGGTGTGCATTGCCTTGAGTCTAACGATACGATACATATCATGATTCACATGTCACGATTCAACATATCCCGATACTAAATCAATGGATGATATACTGCGATTTATCAGTAATTACTTCTAATAATACAGTGAACTACGCCTTCAAGAGAACACAATTCTATGAAATATAATGTTTTTTGTGTTTTTTTTAAATCATGAGAACAGTGAATGCAACTAATAAATTTTTGTGAAAAATATTATTTTTAAAAATCGATTCAGATGCGTTTTGAATCGATTCAAGAATAGTGCAATGAAGTATCACGATATACCACTGAATCGATTTTTTCTTACACCCCTCATAAATATGTTATGTTACAGTTAAAGGGCCCATATTACGATATTCTCTGCTATTTTCTCTGTTATGTTGTAGTTTCTTCATCACAAACAGACCTGGAGTTGTGCTTTGTTTCATTCACACATGTTTAACACACAAATACACCGTCACTACAGTCATTTAAATTTAACCTAGAATCGGCATTTTCTACTGAATTAAAGGCACACGGAGCTGTTAACCTGCAAACTACTGCTTCATGACATCATCAGGTGGAACAGAGCATTTTGAGCTTATGAGAAATAAACAGACTAATAATAAAGTGTTACTCAAACATGTGAATGAAACAAAACACAGCTCCAGGTCTGTTTTTGTTGAGGTAACATTAACATTAACATTAGAACATGGCTAAAAATCCGCAGAAGTCAGAAGTTTTACGTTATGTAGGACCTTTATTACCCCGTAGAAGTATAATACTCCCTCTTTAATGTCAAAATAAAAGTATCATTTTATAACTAGAGTCAAAGGTAACAGTCTGAACATCAATCCATAAATAGCAGACTGTGACCTCAGAGTCGTCTTTACTCACATGAGCTTTGTAAAAACAGACCTGCTCCTGGAGGATGTTTTCCCTCCACACGCCGCGCTCTGATTGGTCCCTGCAGCCGGTCACCATGGCGACCAGCTCAGCATCTAGACACACTTCCTTTTCACACCGAAGGGAATTTAGTCTGAGATCAGAGACAGAAATAGAGCGGTGTGAGCGGGAGCTAAAGGTGACATTTATTAAAAAGAACTAATAATACCACAACATTTCAAATATGTGTGAGAGTGAAGAGGCCTGGGCAGTACTCAGTCATCAAAGTACTAATACTATGTTTGTATTCTAGTCTGTTCTTAAAAACATCCCTGGAGTTATGTTGTTTCATTCATGCATGTTTCAGTCACAGCTCACAACACTCTGTTATACCTTGTGACTTCATCAGGTGTTGATCTAGTAAAGCTCCTCTCTGTTTTTAAAGTCCATTCCTCTTCATTCAACAAATTGATTGATTTTCCACAAAGAAGCGAGCCTGTAACCATAATTTTATGTGTGAGAGATTTGTTTAACAGCACAAATCAGCTCACCTGCTGTAGTCCGGTTCTCTCTGATTAAAGTCGCACAGAGCGTTAGACACAGCCGAGCCTACAGTTAGCGTCACACCTCCAGGGAATGTTGATGACATCAGCTGTAAAAAGCATGAATAGAGGGCAGTTAAACATGACGACTGTTACTGTGCACATTGTGTTGAAATAAATCAGGTTTAATATTGTTGTGGTACAAGAGCCAGCAGTGTAATTCTGTTACTAAGAGCAATTACACTGATGTTGATGGTAGTAGTAGTAGTAAATGGGCAAATTTTTCCACCTTCAAGGTGGTCAAAGCACTTTACAACAAGGAACCACTCACCCATTCACACACCAGTGTACACAGACACTGTGGGCAAGGTGGGTTAAGTGTCTTGCCCAAGGACACAATGACAGCATTCATCTGTGGGAGCTGGAATCACACCAGCCAAACTGTGGGTCAGTGGATCTGACCACTCAACCTGTGATGTTTATGTTGAGAGCTGGAGTCAAACCACCAACCTCCAGATCAGTGGGCGAATGCTCTACCAAGTGAGCTACTGCCGCCCAGAGGACTGAGAAACAGCAGATTTCAGCAGAAGCACCAAACCCTTGTTACTCTCAGGTAAAAGAAGTGACAGGTTGTGAATGATCCAGAGTTTAGGAAGAGATGTCTTCTGCATTTGAGA